TTCACCTGGGCAGAAGTGAGCAGTGTTCTTGACAGGCAGTCCTAAACACCTACACACACACACAGGCATGCGCATGCATCAGGAACATCTTTTATGAATACCTCAACCCAGATTTGGAAAACTGTAGCAGTTAGTTAAGAGAAATAATAACTGCAGTTAGCATTTAGAGGGCTTTTACTATGTGCCGGGTCTTATCCATCCAGCTCATGTGAAGACCAAATCGGAGAATAAAAGAGTGTATACCAACATTGCCACCATCCTGAGCCACGTGAAGAGTATGTTCACAAGATGAGATGGGGGCTCTGCTGTCGGGAAACATGTGACAGGCCACCTGGTTAATACAGAAATTAAACCACGAGTCTTCCTGGAATGTACTCCAGGACTTATCCTTGGGGTCTGTTTCCCTAAATTCAATTACTGCATAATTACCTGGAGTCCCCTGAAATTCTCACAAATGGATCAGGTGGAGGAGCAAGGGGGCGGCAGGACCCCAGAGGAGCTGAGCCGCCTGTCTGCTCGTGGCTCCTGGCAGGGAGAAGGAGAGCATCCTTGTGGCTCTGATGGGAAGCTGAGCTGCTGAACATGGGGCTCCTGGGGCAGTGCTGAGCCCTCAGTTTGTGGATGGTGTTAGTGGCTTGCAGCACAGGAAGTAGAATAAGTAGAATGACAGTCTCAAAGCCCCCCTCAGATACACACACACACACACACACACACAGGACTTGGCACACACACTCACAGACACACATGAAGTATCAGATTCCAAGGTCTCTACTGAAAACTGCACATGCTATGGGACTACTAAGAAACCCTCATCATGCCCCCAACCTTCCAGGAGCCCAGGACTGTGCCTGGGGAAGACTAGAGATCTACACACACAAATATATAGTGTTGTGCATCTGACTGACAGTGAGCAGTGAGTGGAAGGTGGGGACAGTAAACATACCGTGAACTACTTAGTAGTTATGCAGAACAGGGCCCCATAGATGCTGGAATAGTATAAACAGACCTGGGAGGGAAGGGGTCTCTGAAGATCCTCAGAACCCTGGAGACTAGGAACAAGACTCCTGGAGAGAATGCCAGCTGTGAATTCTTACCTCTTTCTCTATAAACTGATTCTTCAACCTGGGGCATGTTAGCCACCAACCCTTCATACTGTTGCTTGTGGAACAGGGACAGTAATAGGACCTACCTCCTGGAGATGAGAGAATTAAATGAGATAATCCCCCTAAAGTGCCTGCCATATAATAGGCATGCAATTAATGTTAAACTGTTATCATTAACTGGGAAGGGAGGTAAGAGGTGAGGAGGAGGAGAGCGGGGGGGGAGGGGTGGATCTCTGCCTTAGTGGTGGCAGGAAGTAACGACTTGTATCCAAGAATAACAGCCTTCAAGACAATTTCCTCCTCAGAGTCTTCTCCTCAGATGAGCAGCTAGCGTAACAGAGGATCATATAATAAGCTCATTTCCAAAAGTGTGAGGATTTGGTTTTGTCCCAACACAGGCTTGCTTATCTGTGTCTTGTCCTCTCCCCTGTTCCAATGTTATTCTCGGCCTTCCTGGGTGAAACTGGACAGGCGGAGTCTAAGGTCTAGGAACATAAATAATCCACCCAGTTGCGACTGAGTCCCTAACACTGAGGCTGCAGGGAGTGGAGGTGTCCCAGGACAATGATTCTGAGATAAACATTCCTGTGTGTCTGTTCCTTGGTCCAGCTAAGGTTGCAGGCCAGAAGCTGTTGGAGGACATTTGGGTCTGACTTGGTATATTTAATGTTCCCTGGCAGAAAGAGTAAGCCTTGTGTTTATCCAGGGGGTTTTCCAGAAGTGCTGGAAGCTGTCTCCTGACCCAGTTCATCCTCCCTAGCTTGACTCAGCTTTCAAGGTAACCAGGAAACACACACAAAAAGATAAAGGTTTTGGGGTAAAGAGAATGGACATAGCAATCAGAGCTCTTGTCTTCCCTTTCTGATTTAGAATTTTGCTGTTGGGTGTGGGCAGGAATAGGTAGAAGCCTCAACCCAGGACCCCAAAATGGGCCAAAAGACTAAGGGTCATATGCTAATCTTCCCCTACTTCTGTGTTTCAGGGTGTCACAGGCCCAGAGAACTCCCACCACACCCAGCCCTCTCCTGTTATCACCCAGCAACCATTCTACACCCCTTGCTACATGTTCAAGGTTATTACCATGATCATACAGGACAAGGGGTTCTCAGCTTTCTGTGCCTGTCTCTTCTGTTGGACTAAAAGGTCCCTGTGGGCAGGGGCTGACCATAATGACTTTTCAGAGCTGAAACAGTTTCCAGGATCCCCAGCTAAATTTGAATTTCATCTAAATAATGTGTTCATTTTTCTTTTTTTTTTTTTAGTGCACGCACGTCTGAAATATTTTATGGAACATACATCTACTAAAAAATGGTGCATCTGAAATTCAATTTTAACCAGGCACTTTGGGTTTGCTCAGTCTGCAACCCTAGACCCCAGCACTCCAGATGTGTGGATTTCTACCTCCTCCCCAGTGGCATCCAAGGATAGAGTGGGAATTGATGGGATGAACTTGGCTCTTTAGAAAGCCAGCTGGGAAGTGGGCAGGCTAAGGGAGATTAAGCTGTAGTCTGGGGCTGGGCTGGTACAGGAGTGTTGACTTTGCAGGGAACATACAAACTCCTCCCTTTGTGTGGGAACAGCTCCAGCCTCTGCATTGGAGGCTTAGCCTTACAAAAAAGGCTCATTTGGAGAAGAAAAAATTTCACTTCTAGCACTCAGATCAAGACTCCTACTTTTCTTCTCTGCCTTGAACTTGGGTTCAAAGAGGATTTATGATCCTTTGTTTGTGATGTGCTAGGCAGAAGCTATAGGAACCCAGAAGAGCTTAGGCTTTTGGACTCTTTATCTCAGAGGCCCCTCCATTTTGTGTCTTGACCATATCTTCCAAGGCCTGTGCCCAAAGTCCCTGGGAATGAGTCCTGAGGTGGCTCTCTGTGCCAGCTTGGTTCCAGAATCAGCATAGAACTAGCCATGTGCTCTGGACTAACTATCAGGCCAACAGGACCTCAGACTTGTCCCACAGGGACGCTCTGTCCCTATGGGGACTGAACAGGACAAGATGTTCAGGTGGCCCCTGGTGTGTCTGCAGAGCTCAGTAAATATGTCCCTCTTGGGACCCAGAGTCTTGGACTCCAGGCTCTGGCACCCCCATCCCAACAGCTCCTGGGGCCAGTACCTCCTCCCCATTGTCTTTCTTCTGACTTCAGACTGTAGGCTCTGCCCAGGACCAGCCCCCAAAAACCCTGCTTCCAGGCCCAGTCCTCAAGGTCTCAGGCCATCTACAGGCCCTGCCTTTCTGGGAAGGTTAGTGAACTCCTCCCTGCCCTCAGGGAGTACCATCCTCCCCCTCCCCCTCCCCCACCTGCAGAGGTCAAGCTCACCCCTAAGTGACCTGGTGTGCAGACCTGAACAGGGGCTTCCCTGTGCATTCTGGACCTCTTGGTTCTCAACCAGAAAAACAGGGGATGGAGGTCCCTGCCTGGCATGGGCCTTTGTGTGCCAGCCACTGAAGGACAGGGCCAATTCCAATGCCAAGCAGGCAGCCTGCCAGTTGCGGAACAGCCTCCTCCACTGGTAGAGTGGCAAAGGGCACTTTTACACGGAGGGGTAGGGGCATGCGTAACTAAAGGGAAATCGAAGTGATGGGAGTGGTGGTAGGGACAATTCACCAAAGCAAAGACTAGAAACTCCTAAAGGCTTTTTTAAAAAAGTGCTTTCCTTTCCCTTCCTTCCTCCTCTCCCCCGCCGGCCTCCCCTCCCCCACCTCCAGCCGCTGGTGGCCTACAGCCAACACTGGCCACTCTGCTCATCGGGCTCCCACCTCCCAGCTTTCCTTCTCTTCTCCTGCCTGCCTAACTCTGCCCCTCTTGGCACCCCCCCTACACACACCCATTCTGAACTAAGTGGGCCATTTCCGCCCTGGCGCCCCGCATGGATGGGCCCCTTAGTCCTAGGTCAGCAGACAGGCGTTTTAGAGACCAGGCGCAGCCGCGCGCTCACCAGGTCCCCAGCCCTGCTGGATGACCCGGGCCAGGAAAAAGATCGCAGTGTCTGCAGAAAGCGGGTCACGGCCGCCTGGCTCTCAGGGCCGCACCCCTCGGCTCCTCGGGGCCTTTAACCCCTTCTGGCCTGCTACACTAAGCGCCTGGGCCTTGCCACCCCAAGGGGGATCGGCAGCGAGTGCCAGCTCAACCGCGAGCTAAGGAAGCGCGGGTGGCAGGTCTTGCTTGCCGCTCTCCACCCCCTCCCCATCCATCCCTCAGGAAGCCTCCCCCCCACACACACACACTCCGCCGCCTCCTCCTCCTCCACTGTGAGCTCGATCGCAGCCAGCAGCCTCCCGAAGCCTCTGGCCAGGCGGTTTCCGGGGAGAGCCTGGCAGAGAAAGCCTCAGCCGCTTCCTCGGCAGGGTGGAGCGGGGCGGGGCTGACGAAGCCCGCCCGGACTTCTGAGAGGGTGGGGGTACTTCTTTTCGGAACATTCCCTACCTTCGGGAATAAGGAGTAACATCGTATCCGCCAGGGTCCGTGCCCCAGTGTGGCACCCCGGGGTGAGAGTGGGGACAAAGGTCAGCAGCTCCCCGTAGCTCTCATGGGGAGGAGAGCAGCCCCATCCGTCTCTCTTGCCCTTCCCCCTTGCACTCCCTCCTCAGCCAACAGAGCCCAGGGGTTGCCCAGCTTGGTGGCACCACGGGCCAAAAAGCCCAGGGCACCCGGGTGGCTCGGGTACCCCCCACAGGAATTCCCCTTTCCAGTTGAGCGCCTCTCTTGACTGCCCCCCATTGGGGTCACCCTGCGGCCGGGTGCGGCTCCAGTCCGCAAGAAAAGGTCTATCGGAGGACGCAGTGGGATTCCTCCCGGACACCAAGGCGGATGTGGGGTGGGAGAGGTGCCGCGGGTCAAGTCACCTCGCCCAACCTCCGACGTTCCCTCTGCGTTATTCTCTGAACAGCAAAAGTGCACCTTCAACATCTCCATTTAATATTTACATTCAAGCAGGTAATAATTGGAAGCTTATAGTTTAGACATTTCTAGTAGCAGCAGGTTCTAGAGAGCTCATTTAGCCTTTTAACAAACTTTTTTTTTTTTTTTGCACATAGAAACAACACATCCATGTGTACAGTATCAAAAAATATATACCAAGGTTACTGGTATTGCAGTTCCTGGAGCAGAGGAAATGAAATCAACCAAAATACTGAATGAAGGGGAAGAAAGGTCAACAGAAAATAGTTTGTCTGATATAGAATATAACATGATCTAGAGGAAACTCCATAAATCTAGGTTTTTATATTTCAATATATAAATACCTACAAATAAATATATATATATCAGCCCGACTGGGGAGGGTCAGGCCTTTTGAGCTCAAACAATACATTTCAATAATAACACCACGTACAAACGGGAGTAGAGTCAGCACTTGACAAGTTAGCACGGTTAAAATATAATACTATAACTCTGAGACCGCCGCGTGGCTGCCGGGCCAATTCCGGAGGTCCGCGGGGAGGGTGCACTCTTGTCTCGCGTGGGGAAGAGGCTGTGGGGACGGACCGCAGGCACCGAGTGGAAGGAGACAGGCCCTGCCGGGCACCTCCGCCGGGACCGGATGGCCACGGGGAGACCTGGGCCACCACGCTGGGCTGTCCTCGCTTGCCCCGGGGCCACCACAGCTCCTGTGTGTGATGGGGAGCCCCCAGGCTCCCGGGGCTGCTCCCCACCCCAAGCGCATCCCCTTCCGATGCCCCGGCTACACCGTCACGTACTCCTTGAACGTGACAGTGAGACAGTTCGCGGTGACGTCGGTGATAATTATATTTCCAAAGAAGGGCTTGAACTCGCTCAGCGGCTCTGTGGGCTCGTCCTGGGCCTCAGCCGGAGGTTTCTCCGCTGCTGTCACCGGCGCTAGCACCACCGCTGCTGTTGCAGCCGGCATCTCGGGCTTCACCTGGAGGGAGCTGGGAGGCTCCCCAGCCTCGCTGCGCGTCTTGACGCAGCGCAAGTCTATGGGCTCATCCAGGTCAGAGTCCAGCAGGATGACCTCAGGCTGTGGCAACGCAGCGGCAGCGGGTGGCAGGTCTGCAGTGGGGCGCTCAGCAGCAGGGCTGCCCCCCAGGCAGGTAGGCGTGCTGATGCTGCGTGCAGTCAGCCGCTTCTTGCAGGGCTCCCGCTCGCCGTGGGTCTCCGAGAGGCACCGCTTGCGCGCGTGGGAGAGGTTGAGGCCCATAGTGTGGTGGTGGTGGTGGTGATGGTGGTGGTGGTGGTGGGTGGGCGGGTGCGTGCCCCGGGCAGAGTCCCAGGCCAACAGGTCCGGCTTGGTGGTGAGCTGCAGGGGCTGTTCTGCGAAGGCCTCTTTAGTCGGTGAGAGCTTGCGGGAGCCGGTGTCCTGGGGCTGCGGGTCCCCCGCGCCTGGTGTCTCCTCCTCCCGCCTCTTGCAGGGCGCCTCGGTCTTCTTCTCCTCTGAACTGCCTGTGGCCTTTTTAAAAGTCCTATCGGCTGGGGGGTGGCGCTCTTCCGGAGCGCGCTTCTTGTGGCTGGGAGAGCGCGTCTCTCCGTCTGCTGCCTCGCCCGACTTGATTTTCACCGCCTGCATGCCGTTCTCCATGTACTTGCTCATCACAATTACGATGCGTCCGTTCTTGTTCTTGTTCTTGACGATCTTCATCTTGCCCCCAATGCCATTGCCTGTCACCGCCTCTTTGGGGGCCGGTGTCATTCCATTGGGGGGCCCCTTCTCAGAGCCCTTGCCTGGAGCCCCCGCTGCCCCAGCCAGAGGCTTCACGGCCCCCAGGTAGCCCTTGGCCACTGTGCCATGGGCCCACTTGTCAGGCGGGTGGCCCTTGGCGCCAAGGTCCGGGCAGGTGGGGCTGGGCGCCTCCTTGTGGCCGCCCTGATACTGCAGGTCATACATTTTGGGGTCCGGCTGGTAGGGGTGGTGCTTCTTGCTGTTCAACTGGTAGTAGTACTTGCCGCTCTTGCCTGGTGGTGGGGGCTTGCCCGCTCTCTCTTTGCTGTGCGGCTGGTACTGGTGGTGCTTTTTGCTGTTGAGCTCGTACTGGTGGCCCTGGCCCTTGCCCTGCGTGCCCAGCTCCAGCTTGGAGCGGTTATCAGCTGAAGAGTCTTGGAGCCCGGTCAGGACATTGGAGCGACGGGCAAAGGTAGGTACCTGAGGGAGGAAGTGGGACGAGGGAGAAGGTCGGCCCCACCGAGCTCCAGGAGCACGGGCAATCCCCCAGCCCCATGGGGGTCCACAGCTGCTTCATAAGGGACAGGGTTTGGGGGGGCAGAAGAATTGGGAGAGGCTGGAGAGGGTCCCCGGGGCCAGCCACGAGTATTCACCTGCACCACCAGTGGCTTGGGCTTCGGCCCTCTCTTCCGATATCCCATCAGCTGCTCCTGCCGTTCCCTAGGGACGGAACAGAGGCAGCTCAGTTAGCCTCGAGGTCACCTCCCCAAACTTCAGTGATGCCCGCCTCTGCCTCCAGTTTAATAGTGCCAGCAGGATGGGGAGGGATGAAAAGGTAGAGGTAGCTGGGCATCCCTGTGACATCCCCAGCTGCAATCCCCTTGAAGATGGCACCAGAACTCATCTACCTGAGTCCTCTGCAAAGAGCTCCCACCTCTGATTCATCTAAATCACACCAGATCAGCCTCTATGCCTGAGAGGCCCGAAGCTCGGAGCTGGGTCAGGGCCAAGGGTGGCCCCACCGCGCCCCCTTGGGCTGGTGCCTCTGAGTGGGCACAGGTTCCAGGGAATAGGGGCAGCCCAAACAGGGTGAGCACCGGACCTCATCCCGCCCCTTCAGAAGCAAGGGATACTAACAACCTCATTAAGATTCAGATAACGAGAGCGCTGCCGCAGAAGAGAGGGCTGGTTTTCTTAAAGGCCAGGCACTAAACAGGGGGAGGGGCTGTGCCCTTGTTTACACAGCGGCAAATGAGCCAATTAGGGGCTGGGGCTGGGGCTGGGGCTGGGGGCCGGCCACTTTGGTCAGAGTCTGGCCAGGTTCTCTGCCACCTGGTCCGGCACCGCCCATACTGAGCCAGTGGGCGGGGCGGGGGCGGGGCCGAGAAAGCGCCGCCAGCTTGTAGAAGCTGATCTCTGCCTTCTTGATTTCCAAATTAATAAAGCCCATGGGTAGGGGCACCAGGTCACTACAGCCTCCAGGTCTCCACCTTTAGGCTAGCCAAAAGGTGACCTACCCGAGGGCCGATTGTCCCAGGCACTGCTGAGTACTCTATAGGAGGGAGAAGTACCGACTGGATGCCAAAGTTGCAGCCCATTCCTGGTCCAAGGACTCACTCTCTAGCAACCCTAGGCACCAGCGCACCCACTGCCCCTGCCCTAACCCAGGAGAGTCCTGCCATGCCCTGGGGCCCGGGTAGGGGACTGACTCCAAAGTTGCGTGGCATTGCAACAGCCTGCGTTTTAATTCTTCAGGGACCCATTATGCAACATGGCATCAGCCGCTGACATGGTTACAGGGTGTTGAACTCCCAGGTGGAGTTGGGCAGGATCCCCTACCGGCGCCCCCCTGTGTCGCAGGAGAGCAACTTCCCTGCCAGTGGCTACCTCAGAGGGTCTAGTTTAGTTTTAGCGCCACACATACAGCAGAAAATAATGCAAAATAAAAGAGGAGGAGGAATGGAAGGCAGTGGGGTGGCTGAGCTTGGAGGGCTGCTGCTGCTCTTCACCACCATGCCCTGCCCTCTGTCCTCCCAGAAACCAAACCACAGTCACCACCAGGGATCAAGCTGCAGCACGACAAGTGTCTGTGCCCAAAAGGATGAGCTCCCCCTTCCACCACCAGGCAGCACCCACCCCATACCTTTGGGCCAAGCTCCTCTTGCCCTAATGGAGGCCTTGCTCCACCACAGAGCCCAGTAGGGTCATGAAGGGCACAGGATTTAAACAGCATCTATTCCCTGCCATCCCTAGCTCCCTAGAGGGGGTGAGGGTATAGGTTTAAGGCCTTGCCAACTCTTCTCCAGCCATCAACAGGTTAAGTTCAGTTCCATGACGTCCTGGCGGTTTCACAATGCCAGCTCCTTTGGAGCTGCCCTGCGAGGTGCTGGTGCCAAGCGGCCAGCGGCTGCAGGAAAGCAACACCTAGGCTCCAGGGGTGGGGCTCCACAGTTGTGGGGGGGCAGAAGTGGAACAGGGGAAGCCTCCAGTTCTCCAGGACAGCTGCAGACACTCTTCCCACAGTTCCCCCCAAAACACAAGCCTTGCCTTTCAGGTCCCTGCCCTGCCCCCACTCCCAAGTTACATTAACTGCCAAGGACACTGGTTAGAGAGGCCGAGGCTGTAGCCTTGGCCATCTTGGCCCCACTGTTGGGGGGAAGCTCCCACTGGTACTGTTCCCCCTTTCCTATTGCTGTGTTGCCCACTTTCCATTCCCATATACGGTCACCGCGCGGGCAGTGGCTGCAGGGGGACGCTCACCTGTTCTGGAAGGCGATCAGCAGCCTGGGATCCAGGATGTTCTCCTCCGGTTCCCACGTGTTATATCTTGCAAAGGAAAAGGGAGGGGGACATGGGTAAAAAAACACCAAGCCAGCTTTGCGGCCTCCAGGAGGGGAATGACATAAGGCCCTATTCTGTCTTCATGAACCGAAAGCCATTTAGCTGTGGATGTGGAGGGTAGGTTTCTGCAGGCCTGACACAGTCCCTGAAACACTGCCTCCCCCAAGTCAAAATAAACACACAGGACAGGAAGAAAGGGGAGGGGTAAGGAAAATGAAACTAGCAGTTTATTTTGCAGTTGTCAAGAATTTTAAGCATGTTACTGCGACATGTTCCAAAGCCACTTTGCTCACCAGGAACCCTGCGTGCAAAGCAGCCGAAATGCAAAGTCGCAGTACCCCTCCTCCTCTCCCCAGCCCCGAGTCTTTGCGAGGGTTTCAGCCGTTCTGCATTTGACCCCTAATCCGATAACCGAGAGCCCAGCGGCCCCCCCACACCCCCTCGCCGCCCAGGAGCCCGCTGTCACAGGCAAGCAACCCCCAAATACTCAGCAACACAAAAATATGCCTCTCTCTCTCTGTGTGAGTGTGTGTGTGCGCGTGTGCCTGCGCGTGTCTCCATCCGGTGCCTTCGCATTTCAAATTAAAGAAAAAATTCCCCACCAAAAGCGCTGCAGTGACAGTTCCCAACATTTTCTGCCTTTTTTCGTCCCCTCTCTGCACCACTAGGAGGGAGAAGGCACACAATTGCATTTTCGTCGCTTTTTAATTTTTTTTTTTTTTTGGTTTTGCAATATGGAGCCGTTCGGTGGAGGGAAAGGGGAAAGGAGCCATTTTCTGCTGCACATCAGTCAGTGCCTGCGCCCTCCCTCCCTCCGCCGGCCTCCCCGGCTCGGCCCCGCGTCTCTCCAGCTCCTCCGGCTCCTTTTAGTGCATAAATTAGTGATGGCATTTCCCGGAGAGCGGAGCACAACACAGGGCGCCGGGCTCGGGCTCGGCGGCTCGGCTTCCCAGTGCCTGCCACCGACTTCCCCA